TACTATACATTATTTGTTTTCTGTAAAGATTTAATAAACAGTACGCACTTGTTTGACTACGGAAAAAAAAAAAAAAATAAAATAAAATAAAATTAATACATAATGAATTATTAATTCTGGATAACAAAATCAAAAAATTTTTTATAAAATATGAAAATCCAATTAATTGCTTATATTGTTTATAAGAAAAAAATTTTTTTAGAATATCTTTTTTTCTATAACAATATTATAAAAATATATAAAGAAATATAAAAAATCAATTATTTAATAAATAGTTAGAAAATATTTAAGTAGAAGAAATATAAGATAAGCAAACTCTTATATAAGATTTATTATAAAGATAATATAGAAGTAAATTTTTTACAGATACAGATATTATAAATATATGTTTAGGATTTTTTAAAAGAGGACATTATAGAATGAATATAAACAATAGCTAAAATTAAAATCAAAATCAACAAAGCAAAACAATTATTAAAAAAGTTCATAAGAAATATTTGTAAGCAAGTTAGAAAAAAGCTATGAAATAACAGGTATATTAGATTATAAAACTTATGAAAAAAATTCAAAATATATAAATATAAAGAAAAAAATACTTGTAAAATAAGAAGAAAAAAAAAAAATCAAAAGATTCCAAACAAAAAAAAACAAGCTCAAGAAAGTTATAAGAAAATAGTATAAAAGATTTCATCTCTCAAGTTTAAAATAAAACCTTAATCTGGAAATAGATTAAAGAAGGAAAAAATTGATTAGGAATATAAAAAGTAGTCTAAATTTTGTTTAGATAAACTGAAGTGATAAACTGTAGGTAATGATCTTTAAAATTAAACTAAACTTTATAAGCAGGTAAATTTTAAAAAGAGCAATCTTTTTTATTTTCAAAATTATATTTAGAGACATTAGTTAAAGACAAATGTTCAAGACAATAAAATAGTTTGTGCAATATAATATATTATATATTATTTGTTTTTTATAAAGATTCAATAAACAATATGCACTTGTTTGACTAAGGAAAAAAAAATAATAATGATCTTAATATTAAGAATTCAAGAATTTTATATAAATTTATAAACCTATTAATAGATATATTGTAATATATAAAAAGTTTAACTATAATATAATATATTTTTATTGTATTATTATATTTAGATTAAATATTAACAAATGTTTCAGATTGCAATTTGATTAGAAGTAAAAAATATAATAAAAAAAATAAAAATCCATATAAGTTAACCAGAATTAAACTAATTTTAATAAACAAAATGATTTTCTAATAAAATTAAACATAAATTTAATAAAATAAATATATATTATTCTCTAATGCTCATGTTTGTATTTGATTCCAAAGGAGGCGCATTTAGGGAATTCTCTGTACAATGTATTAACTTAATATACAGTACGTAATTGCATATACTATATGTTAATTATCTTCGCTATAACAAAAAGTTAATAATTAGATATACAGTACGTAATTGCATATACTATATGTTAATTATCTTCACTATAACAAAAAGTTAATAACTTTTTTTTTTTTAACTTAATGGCAATTCATACATTTCTTGAGATTCTACAGCATTTGAAGATAATTGCTTAATGTGGAAAAGACGAATGCTAAAAATAATTTTTCTTTAATTTTTTTTTTATGCTCGCATGTTTACGGAATAATAATAAATAAATATGTATACATGAGCAGGTTTTATAAAATTTTCTTTTTACCAATAGAAAGGTGAATCAAACAAATCATGATGTTTTTTTGACGGTCAATAAATGAATCAATCGTTTTAGATGGTGTTTGCTTCAAAATTTGATTATAATAATCGGATTTCCAATCGATTGAATGAATGCATATTGTTCCTAAATGATAACGCTTCCGTACAATCAACTTGGATTGTTTGAAAAGATAATATTTAGAACTCAATAGTGCAGCATTGACTTAAAGTCGAATATTTCATCCAATCTAAAGAACTCAAGAATATGGGACAACATCGGAGACGTTAAAGTCGGAGTAACCGACAAATGGTAAAACTATTGGTTAAAGCTTGTGTCGGATAAGGTTGTTCTTGATTCGCACGTTAGTTCACGACATAATGCAGCACTATTCAAGCGCTTAAATTGGGTTGTATTACACACTACAATAAAGTTTAAATTGTAATTGCGCAGGGCAAACTGAAAAAAACATTAATAGATAAAAAAGAGGACAATATTAAATTACCATGCAAAAGGAAAATTATTTACTATATTTATATACTTAAATTTCCCGCCATTATTTATTTATGGTTTTGTAAGCAACATCAAAAAACCACCACTAAGCTTCTTTGAATTCATCTTTTCAGTGTCTCCTCAATTTAATTTTTTATTTATCTTGTAATATGTAGAACATCCCTAAATGGTTATCCTTCGCTTTGTGCTCTGAACTTGATAGGACGTTCCTTTGCAGGGCTCTTCACATCTCACACGCATGTACTAAGATGTTACATTTTCCATATAACCATGAGTATCTTGTTTATTTGCATATATCCAATACACTCTCGCTAGCCGAGTCATTTTTTAATTAATTATTTTAAAAAAATTATCCATCTTTTAATCTTTTCTTTTGTACTTCTTTTCCTTCGTGCCTTTCTTTGCCTGCTTCCTGATACGCTTGAATTGACCAATGCTCAAGCTTAGTTTAAGACTCCTGCAAGACAGAAAGAAGGAGGTAAGCCATCATGATTTCAGTTAGAGGATATTAAACTCTTTTCTTTTGACTTTTCTAACTGGGTCTTCGGTATAGGGCAAGATTTCTCGCCTTGAAGTGAAGCCGGAATTACCTGCTTTCGAATGGCAAGTCACCGGCGAAACTGAGCTAGAGGATTGTATAACTCAGGCAACAGCAACTCTAAGTCAGCCTGACGATGCACTATTTGGAACCATTAATGAACGTTGTAAGTCTTCGCCTACAAGAAGCAGCGTAAGCAAAAATCTGGTTTCATGTAATACAGAGTCCAGAAGATTACGTTTAATGCAAATAATAGAAGATGAAAACTCGAGAACCAGATTTAGGAATTATTTAGTTTCGCAATATTGTGAAGAAAATTTGGACTTTTACATGGACGTTTGCCAATATCACGAATTTTTTTGCTCCACGAGAATTCACATCAACGACGATATTAGAGAAATAAGCTCACATGCAAAATATATATGGAATTTTTATTTGGATTCCGACACTTCTTCAAAACCTTTGAATGTTCCTCAGGATCTTGCAAATAGTTGTCAGCAAAAGATTCATTCACGACAATATAACATTGACATATTTGACAAACTTCAGCAGCATTGTTTCGACCTCATGGTTCAAGATTCTCTTCCAAAATTTACCCGTAATTCCATGATTCATGAGTCTTATTCTTATTCTTCATTGCCCTCACCCACATTAAGCCTTAATCCATGCGTAAATCATCAAACGGAACCCAATCATCTTAAACCGCTCTCTTTTGTTGAGAAAATAACCTCAGGTCCACGAAAGTCTCTTTCATCTGGTTCCTTGAAATTGAAGATGACATCGACCTTGGCCTCATTGAAAACGGCGGTTGCTGATTCTTCAAAAACCATTAATGATCTTGATTCCTCCAACAAAACCTTATCATCAATTCCGCTTTCACTCAATTCTCCAACTTTACCATCCACTAATTCATTATCACAAGAAATTCACATGGAAAACTCTGTGACTGCTATAACCACTTCTGAAAATTCGGAATGCAACAGATCTTCCATGGCATCTACGGGCTCCACAAACTCTTTGGGCTCTTTCAATTCTGCAAGTTCCACCACTTTAACAATTTCTAGCAATTCTGCAGGTTCTGTCAATTCGACAGGTTCTACGTTACCAACACCGACTTCAATTCACAGCCAACGGTTGTCTTTCACAAACATTACACGTCGCATACTTTCGCGTCGTCGCAATTCTCTCAGTTTGGTATTAGGTCAATTCTCACTTTCTGCACTCAACTCACATTATTCGAGTAACGATAGAGTAATGACGATGCCAGGTTCTTATCCTCAAGAAGATCAAGAAGATCGTGACGGATTTGAACAATGCGACGAATCCTCTGACAATGCGACCACGTGGCAGAAGCTTCGTCGCAACATTTCCACACCCAATTTTCAGTCACAGGTGACCTTAAGGTCACGATCCGGCATGAATCTTCACGAAACATACATTCCTCAAAAAAGTCTCCCGCCTATTCCAGCTGCATCTGGGACCTAAGGACAATTACCTAATTCAATTTTTCCTTATTCATTCATTCATTGCCTTCGAGTCATGAAAAAACCTTTCCCGATGTCAGCAGTCGTAATTGTTAGTTTTTCATAGGAAACTTGTTAAAATTCATTTAGAGCATTAATTATATTTATTGTATTTATTTTTGCATTTTGCAAGGACATTTTTATTACGTATTTCAATTTCTTCATATCCACTAATGTCTCCACAACTCTTATACGGAAATGAGACAAACTACAATTTCTATCCAAACTCAGAATCGCTCCCTCATTTCCTATTTGTAAATTTTTTTCCTCATCCAATCGATCACTCACCAAACTTTGTATATCGTTGTCCGCTAAAGAATCGTTCACATTTCTTCCTTTATCATCTACATTAACATGCGTATATTCGCATTTATGTAAAAATGTGTGTAAAATGATTCTTCTCGGGTACGAATAGTAAACAATTTTCTGTTGTCTTTCACAATAACGGTAGTTTTTTTTTTTTTTTTTTTGACGCGTTTATATATCACGTGACATTTCTAATGTTTCGCATGTATCTGCCGTGAACAAATGCCAAAAAACCATCAACATGAATCTGAACCTCGGAAGTAGGTAAAAAGGAGAATATCGTACACCACTGTGTTATACAAAGATTATAATTATTCATAAACATGAAAGCACATTGATACAAGGGATAAATAAGTAAATCGACACATCTTTACACAATTGATTGATTTTTGATCGATAAAAAACACAAATCATTCGTCGCGATAAAGAATGTCATAATGTCCAGGTCTGTACAATAACACTAACGGCTTCAACGAATCATATTCTTTGGTCGGTTCCGTTTCTGGATAAAATTCATGAAAATTCACTTGTTCCATCGCATTAGAACCACTCATATAAGCGATCTCTACCGGGACCTTAAGAGCTTTGGTCAATGCGATCACATGAATGTGGTCAGCCTCCACGTCCATCGCTTCCACATATTTGTTACAAAACTGATCCATTCCGAAATCAAATTCTAAGAACGGTTCATAACTTTCACGGTGTTTTTTCAAATACCCGGCAGTGACAAACCGAAGATATAAGACAAGTTGATTGGAGATTTCGTCGGTTTGAAAGATTGATAATAAACGGTCATCGTCTAGTCCTCCTTCCGCGGCTGACTTCAATTGTTGCTCGAAGACTTCATAGAAATCCTCATATACCAACGATTGGTATCCTACCGAATCAAGAAGCGGTTTCGTGGAAGCCAAAGCAGTAAGTGCGTTCTGGCCGAGATTTTGATCCTTGGAATTCATGAGTTGTTCGAACCACGCGAACCCAAATGCTAAATTACAGTTCAAAGTGTTGAAAACGAATATTCACTGGCGAAATGATCGGAAAATTCACGGATATCAATACCTCGATAGAAACAATTTCCATCGCCTCGACAACGTCTTATTTTACCGTGTTTTTCTTTTAATTTCTAACATGATGGTAATTGGTGATTAAAAAAGTCAAAATGTGACCATCGCCTACAGATGGTTTGTTGGCACTTATAAAAGAATTCAACCAACCATAATTTTTTGCCTATATACTTCGCTACCATGTCGATACTCTTCGTATAACATGTCGATGCTCTCGGAAAGACATACAAGTGGTGATTTTTCAGCAGTTTCCTTCCTAATATTCTCCATGAACTCGGCATTCTTTTCAAAAGTAGCTTCTTCATACTCCTTTGGTAACGTTTGTGAACCATTGCTGCCTGACGTTTCCGGTAGCTGAGTTTCTATACCGTCAGGGGTCCTCTGTGAATCAACTGACTCGGCGGACCTAACCTGTTCTCCGTCTTCACGAGTCGTAGCTGTGTCACCCATGGAAGGATTTGATTCCGACTGCATGTTTCGTGTCGTCTGAACGGTCGCTAATTTATCGGAAGAATGATATCCTTGCAATAAATCGTTACCCATGTTAAGTTGGATATTTGAAAATTTTTATTACACACAGTCAATGAATCAATTTTTTTGATAGCCAATTGAAATTGCCAAATAAGTCGAGTATAAAAGACCGCAAGATAACCATTTTCATCACTTTCCTAAGTGCTTTTCGTGTATTTTATAACCCCCATGAAGACCACCATGTTCCTTGGAAAGCATATAAATGCCATTACGGGCGTGGGTCGCGTCTACTCCACTCGTAGACCATCGATGGTCTCAAATGGATGCACTCGTTTGCCCATGCTTTCTCGTCTCTCCTTGGTTCCTTCAAACCACATCCTGCCCTTCCTTACTCCTGGTATATTGTACACAAGTCAAAAAAGAATGTTGGCTTCCAAAAATAAAGTGGGTAAGAAAGAGATGAAGAAGAGAAAGAGTGCTAAGAAGGACGAAGAAGCCACCGAAGAGGAGGAAGAGGAGCAAGAGATGATCGATGAAAATGGTCGATCCTTTAATTTGACCATTATCGAATCTAAATTGAATAGCACAATCGAAGGATTGAAAAAGAAGTATAGTACAATGAGGATTGGTCGAGCGAATCCAGGTCAAAAGGAAGATCTGCATAGATATCATTACGTATTTTCAGGCTCAGTTTATTAAAAGTGCTCTCCACTTTTTTCTAGCCATTCTTGAGATGGTGAATGTTCCTTGCAAAGATGGAAGCGCTCCTTTGAAAGATCTTGCCCAAGTTGTTGTCAAGGATCCACAAACGCTGTTGGTGCACGTGCATGACGAAGAAGTATGGACAACATAAGAAGAGCTACTGAACAATGCAACTAATAATAGGATGGGATAGAAAGATAGTAATGTAAATCGCAAATATCGATATTTTACTTTGCCTTTATCATTTAATTGTTTTTAGATGTTAAAAGCGGTGGACAAGGCAATAAGGATCGCAAATCTTAATTTGAATCCCATGGTTCACGAAAAAGGTCTCAGCGTGACATTCCCAAAGTAATGCCCCTTGATTGAGCAGTCTCCCAGAGATTTTAGCCTTGCATTCCTTTTATTCATTTAATAATCAACATTCTTTGTCATTAAGAGTCACCACTGAATACCGTGAGAAGTTGGTGAAGGCCGTCTCTGAAATCTCGGAGAGAACAAAGATCAAGGTTCGCCTGGTTAGACAAGATGGATTAAAGAGTTTGAAAAAAGATATGAAGATAAGATTATCGAACGATGAATTAAAAGCTTCGGAAAAGAAGGTATTCCCGTCAGTTCATCCTTGGGTCAATCGAACATGTCCGATCGAATTAAAAAAAATCGCGTGAATTTCTCTTTTTAGCTTCAACTTCTAATAGACAACTCGATTAAAGACATCGATGAGATATCAAAAGCAAAGTCCAAAGAGATAATGGAAAATTAACATATAATCATTGTTCATAGTGCACTCATTACATATCAATAAAAATATTTGGGTCTGATTTTAAACTTATCAGACTCATTATTATAATCACGCGAATCATGCGATATACTGTATGTCTGACATTCGAATTAAGTGTGTGTAACCCGTCGATCAATTGCAAATAAACGTTCAATTGGTTTGGCCTTCCCCTTCAATTAATTGGTTGACTTGGATGCATGTTACGAAAATTTGTTCAACATGTCCTCCGAAAAAAGTAAAGGCATCTTACTTCACTCACGCACAAAAACCTTTTGCTTCCTCCAAACAAAAGAAAAGAATACTTACAACACATTAAATTTAAGCTCCTTATTGTATCAACCAAGTATCTTTTGACCGACCCATTATCCTCTCTTTTGATAAGCAAGCAACTTCATAATGTCACCAGGTGCAGTTGCAACGAGCGACATCGGCATCGCCAACTTGCCGAACCAGCGTCACAAAATTGTAGCCAAGCGCGGTACCAACTTCACCCTGATGGTTGTTGGTAAGTATCTTTGTCTTTCTCTCGGCGATCCGGAACGATGGCAATTCCAAGAGTCGTGGGTCACGCTTTCTCGGGCGATAGATGGCCACTTGAAAGACTTCGTCCAAGGATGCTATTATAACATGTTCATGCAAGGTTTATGGCTTAGTTTCCTAAGTTAATTTTATTCCTGGTATTAGGTGAGTCCGGTCTCGGAAAGACGACCTTTATCAATACTCTTTTTACCACCACCATCAAGGAAAAGAAAGACCAAGCCAAACGACATGCTAAACAGATGGACAAAACTGTTGAAATTGAGATAACAAAGGCTGGTATGTGGATTTTTATTACGGAAAATATTGCACTTTTAAATTATGGTGATCATTCATGTATTCTTTCATTTCTTTTTTATAGAACTTGAAGAAAAAATGTTCAATATAAAGCTCACCGTCATTGATACACCTGGGTTTGGAGATTACGTAAACAATCGTGATAGTTGGACACGTATTGTCGAATTTATCGATGACCAACACGAATCTTATATGCGTCAAGAACAACAACCACTTCGTAAAGAAAAGTTGGATATGCGTGTTCACTCCTGTCTTTATTTCATTCGTCCAACCGGTCATACGTAAGTTTTCTATTATAATCGGAATATGTTGTTCATTGTAGCCCTTTTTATTAACACCACCATTCATCGTTCAAATAGGTTGAAACCTTTGGATATTGAGATTATGAAGCGCTTAGGTTCTCGCGTCAACTTAATTCCAGTTATCGCCAAAGCCGACACTTTGACACCAAAAGATTTGGAAACCTTCAAGAGAAGAGTAAGTTCCTCGATTTCTTTACTACATCGGCTCTTTGCTGAAACTAATTCTTTTGATTTTTTAATCAACCGTAGGTCAGAGAAGTGATTGCTGCACAAAATATTCAAGTTTATCAATGCCCAATTGAGAGCGATGATGAGACCAGCACCAGACGCAATATGAATATCATGGTGAGTCTCAATGTTTGGTTAACGTGTTTCATTATTCTTTTTCATATCATCAAGTCTAAATTATTTGCATCATCATCACCTAGGCTGCTATGCCTTTCGCAATTATTGGCAGCGACGAGGATGTCATTGCTCCAGATGGCCGCAAGGTTAAAGGAAGACAGTATAGCTGGGGTATTGCAGAGGTTGAAAACGAAGATCATTGTGACTTTAAAAAGCTTCGATCCCTTCTTATCAGGTATTTTTCATATTATTCGGTCATAGTATACATTCACTATACAATTTTTTATACGAATATGTATATATGTATATTTTTGCTTTTAGGACTCACATGTTGGACTTAGTGTCCACTACCGAAGAAACACATTATGAAAACTATCGTCAGTCGCAGATGGAAACCAGGAAATTTGGAGAACCAAAGTAAGCTGAACGCAATATTCTCATGTAAAATTCTTTGCTCCTTTGAATGAAACTAAGTATATATTGTTCCATAGGCCAAAGAAACTTGATAATCCTAAGTTTAAAGAGGAAGAAGAAGCTCTTCGCAAAAGATTTACCGAGCAAGTTAAACAAGAGGAAAATCGTTTCCGACAATGGGAGCAACATGTTAGTACAAGTCTATTTTACCCATTACATTTACCGGTGATTCTAACAAAGGTTTCTTGCATTATGTAGCTCATTTCTGAACGTGATCGTCTTAATAAGGATTTAGAGGCTGAACATTCTAACATCAAGAACTTGGAATCTGAATTAGAACAACTTCAATCCTCGATGTCCACCAAGGGTGGTAGAAGATAAATGAAAAATTTATTCTTAGACTATGCCTGTTTAAACCGCCTTCCAGTTTTCGGTTCTTCATTCATGTGATTGTTGAATTGCCTTTCTTTCACTTAATTTTTGCGTAAAGAATTACTAATTTTAGTTCTTTTTATTATCACTTATATTAGCTGATGTATTATATATACTATTTATAATAATTTTACGTGAGATATTACATTCTTAGGGTTAGATAGATATGTTAGCTTGTTTTTGGAATAATTAATGGTTCTTTGCTTTTTGCAGGCAAATTATTGTATTTGGTTAACTACCCTTCAGAAAAGTGGAATGTTATTAGAAATTTTTAAAAATTTATAATATATTATTAATAAAGTTCTAAAAGAATTATACGTTATAAAACCGCCCATGTTAACAAATTAATATAAGAGTAGGGTCTAATTGATATTAATAGGAATTTGGTTGGAAAACACATTTCATAAACATGGATAATTTATAGAAAATCATTTACTGTATTATAAATGATTTTTTTTTTCATACAGCATTAGGATCTGGTTATTGCAAAAAATTTCTATTTGATATTTAAAGTTTTATTAGAAGAAATATCAGCAGATTTTTTTTAAAAGATCCTTTATTTGAATATTATAATTGATTAAATATTGTAATAATTATATTAATTATACTTAAATTAAGAAAATAAACATTAAATTATACAAGTTTTTTGCTTCAATTTATAATATTATACAATATATATTGTATATTTGTATATATGTTTATAATTAAAACAAATACTTGATATGTCAAATTATTGATAATTTATAATAATTTTTTTTTTTTTAACAATATCAAATTTGGTAATAATAATTAATTGATCTTTTGAAATATAGACTGTCTGTTTTTTTAGGAAAAACCATGAAAAAAAAAAACCAATCCAAGTTTACAACTTGCAAAAAGTTGTTACTTCTTAATATAAAATTATAAAAAAAAAAAAAAAACTCTTTCCTATACATAACATTTTTCTTAAAAATTTTCTTTTATAATAATTTTCAAAATTAGAGAAAATATTCCTTTTGCTTTCCAATACCTACAAGTTCTCTACATCTCTTTAACTTTCAATATCAAAAACCTCAAGGAACTAAAGAAGTATACTGATGTATCAAGATAGAACCTCTGGTCAAAAGTAAGCAAGCTTGATGAACTTGCTTTTTTCTTGAATTGTATGAGGAAAGGCTTATGACAGTTGCTTCTTTACAAGTTTTCCTTGAAGTTTTTTCTATTTATATTTCTTATTAAAACACTTCTTATTAATATACAAACACTTTTAAATATTCATGTTCTTGACTTGAAGGACTTTATTTCATTCCAAAACACAAACTTTTATATCAAATTTGTTTATATCACTGGCCTGGGAAACTATTGATATATATAAAAAACAACTTCTACTATCACTCAATATATTTTACTGCGCCATAAAAATTTAAAAAATTCTTGTTTAAAAACCTTTTTTCCAAAAAACTACAATCAGTTTGCTCCTGGTAACTGATTAATATTCTACCTTTAACCAATTACACATTATCAAATATTCAAACACATCTATTATACCTGCCAAAGATCAATATAAACAACACCAAAAAATGAAAATCCATTCAATCATATGACCTTATTTTATTAAACATCAAAATAACAAATATGTTTTATCAATCATCAATCAAAAAACAACAACACAACTCTAACTTTGCAAATCAACAATTATTATACCTAAACCTATCATATTCAACCAATCATTTAACCAATCAATTACTACTACCATATACTATCAACTATCAAGAATATATGTTATTATCACAATTATATATTTTGAACAATAGCCTAACTAATCACAAACTGATTGGAACTACTAGAGTGGCATACTGAATAAGCATCCTTAATTATATAATTAATGTTATTACCATATATTCAAATAACTATCCAACCAATCAATTACTATTACCATATACCAGTAACTATCAAGAAGACATATTATTATTACTAATATATATTCCGGACAGTAGCCTGGCCAATTAAAGCAGTATATTTTTCAATATACTCAAATAGAATAGAATTATTAAAGTAATGTGCCAAATAGGTATCCTTAGTTATATAACTAGTTTTATTATATTTATCACTTATATAACATCAAATATAGAATTTTTTTTTCTTTTTTTCTCAATTTTCTTTTACTTCACATTTCATTTATATCTAACAAAAAATTTTAAGTAAATAAGTATAGCTACTACTTAACTATATTTAGTATATATAATATTGTTTTAAAATTTCTTTTCAACATTAGCTAGATATAGATGTGTAGATAGGCTAACATTTAACTTGTTGTATGCTTTTTGCACCCAAGAGATATTGTTTCTTTTACAATATATATCTATTAATATACTAATAAATAAAGAAATGATGTTTACTTACTAGAAAGAATAAAATAAATTAAATTCAATTATAAAATTATAAAAAAATAAAATTATAAAAATTAAAAAACAAAAGTATAAATATAATTATATTTTATATCTTGTATTAAATTTTTTTTAATAAATAAATATATATATATATATTAATCTTTTTTTTTTTGAGAAACAAATGGCTATTACAGTTTACTTTATTTATTATAATTTTAAACTTGCAAAATAAAATTACAATATTGACAATATTTATTTATTTATTTTTTTTTTTACTGCGAATAAGCATAAAATACGAGACTTTATTTACTAAATGATAGTACTGTCATTACATTAAGAATCCTACACTACCTCATTCAGTGGGAGTTAATCCTAGCCTATTGCATATATAACCTTTAATGCTACATTATACTAAGTAAGTGGTGCCACACCAAAAGTGGTCCATGAATGGCTTATGCCTATCCATAAACAGCTAAGTTAGGGCAGG